CCGCGAGACGGTAGTCGTTGAATGCCTTGTTGCTTGTTCTTATGGCAATGCTGGTGCACTCTTTGCTTTGTGCCTGCCTTCAGACGCTAAGCTCTCTCTCGCTCGTACTTTGTCAGTCTCTCTCTCTCTCTCTCACTCGCTCGCTGTGATGGCGAAGGAACCTCCATCGCGTGCGGATGCCTACGCCGGAGGAGTTCTCTCAGACACACTGAACTTCGCCACACAACCCTTTAAGGGAACCCTGTTCTAGTCATTAAGGCCCCAAAAGTAGGCAACAAGAAAAGCTCGGCTGTTGATGCATTGGTGTTGTCTCGGTCGCAAAGCTTCGATTAGGAGCTGTCTTGCCCGCTCCAGGTCCTCTTGTATCGGGCTTTAGGGTTTAGGGTGGCCAGCCCCAAGCCCAGAGGCAAAAAAGGGTTTAGGGTTTAGGGTGGCTAGCCGCAAGCCCAGTGGCAAAAGAGGGTTTAGGGTATAGTCTTTGCTTCCGATGTTGTGGAGAAGAAGCCGTGAAGTGGTAGTAAAGGTAGTCGGAGCCTCGCAGTTCCTCTATGTCCGCTCTGCACTGTATTGTATGGGCACCCCGTATGGTAGAGGCCTGCAAGGTATACATAGCGTAGTCTACCTAGACGCCTCTTTACCGTAGACTGGCAGCAAATATTTTGATGCAGGTTTAGGACCTCTCCGAAACCAGAACGGCGCAAGCGCGCGCAAGTAGTGTAAGCAGGTTTATCAAGGCATCGAGGTGGCAATGTGTTGGAAACCCTGTGCGTGCAAGGGCGAAGCAGAAGACGGTTTTCGGCTGAAACCATAACAAAGAACAACCCCCATCTATATATATATATGTCCATTGATGTAGCTCTCTATCTACTCTATCGATCTAGCTACTTATCTAACTATGTGTACACATACCTATGTTTTATGTGTATAAACATGTGAGTATACGTATTAAAAAACATGTTACTATACACGGATCATCGCATGCAACATGCATGCATGTCTGTGACTGTCTGTGTGTGCTAGTCCTGCTAGTCGTCGCAGGAGTGCACGCCGCCGAAATCTCGGTACTCAATGGCTTTCTTCATGCACTTGGGCTCATGTGGGGGTTTCCGAAAATACGGGACCCTAATATAGTACCCTAAAGAGTAGGATCCTTATTATAAGTACCCCAAAATAAATCAAAATAAGGTACCCTCCAAATTTCGAGGGCTCCCATGTTATGATTGTCTGGGTCACATTTCTGGGTTTTCGGTGTAGGTCAAGGGCCTGCAGGAACTCGTGAGTGGGTGTAGGGTTTTGGGGCTTCAGGTTAAGGTTATGCTATGTTGCCAGATGTTATGACATGATAATTCTTCTTCTTCTGAGGGATTCCAGGTTATGATAATTATATTATCTTGCATGATACCCTGCTTTACAATAGTGCTATAAGGGCTTACAGGCCTTACATAGGGTTTTAGGTTTTTGCGCTCCAGAGTCAGGTGCCCAAAGGCCCCGAGCCCCTGACCTGACCCCTGATTAAATTATATAGATTATGCTTGAGGTGGGGGTTTCTGTTAAGTCTGCTTATTGGTAGAATCAACTTCCTGCTGAGAAGGGGGGTGGTGGTTGTTTTAAGGCAAGTTTGTGCAACCGCTCTCTGGTAGCATCGAGTTTTGAGCTGATGCCACGTCGTGAACTGGTGCGATGGCACGATAAGCCCTGAACACAGAGACGTTGGGTTTGCAGCACTTGTGACTCTGCTGATGTGTTGTGCTCGGCTCGAAGATGTTTGCAAGAAGGACGCCCCACGCAACAGAATCAAACCCGCCTGCCTACCGACCCGCTGTTCACCATGGGTCTGTTGAGAAGCGATTCCTTCAGAAGAAAAGATAGCACAGGGTGCCAGCAAGCCTCACAGCGTTTTTGTCCCGTGCGGTTTGTGTGCTGAGGCAAGCAGACAAGCATGTGAAAATCGAGTGCGAGACGATGGAGACCGTGCCGCCCGGTATAAGCTGAGGATTCCCAGAGATTCCTTTATCCCTGAATTAAGGAGTATACCTTAAATCGTGTTAGGGATCCTAGTATAAATTAAGGAGTCTTCCTTAATTAAGGGGTATTGGAGTCTCTAGCATTCCCAGTCTGCTGAAGAGATCTGTGCGGCGTGGGAGTCCCGAACCTCGAAGCGGATGCAGCCCATAGCATAAGTCATACCTTCTGCTTGGTCCCAGGGAGTTAGCCAACAAGGCATCGAAGCGAACCGGCAACGTTGAAACGGCAAGCAACAACAGAGCATATGGAGGTTCGCAAAGAATTTGGTGCACTTCACTCAGAATTTGGAGGCCCTTATAGTAAGGATCCGTCTCTTTAGGTTCCATATCGGGATCCTGATCGCCGAATTTTCCCGCCGAGGACCGCCGGGGACTACATCCTTGGCCGCATCCGCAGCAACTTCGCGAAGTGAGCTGACAGGGCCGGGCCATCAAAACCTTGTGTCACGAAATCAAGACGAACCCAACAAAACTTCGTATTTCTCTGCCTTCTCGAAATCCCTTTTGTCCAGAGATTCCCGGCGGACAGGCCTAATTCCTTTTTATGAGCAGGGACTGCAATGCACCAGACCCAATCCCTACAACTCTAAGCCCTAAGAGCGTCGAGCTCGTGTCGCTTTGCACCCAAAACCCCCAGCCCAATGCCCCGAAGCCTTAAACCCTAATCCCTAATTACTTCAAAGCGCCGAAACCTTCCAGATGTACAGGTGTGGGGCTGACAACCACCCCGCCTGTAGTCTCTGCTTGTGGAGGCACTCTGCCCATGAGTTGTGCTGCCCTAAGGGCCCTGTAGCTTTCACGATGCCTTCAGTTACGGTGATGACTATGATGTCGTCATGCGTTTCGGGATGGTCCAAGCTCTTCGTCATTAAAGTGCACACTTTGCGTTATTTAGGCGTTCTATTGCTGCGCTTCTCCTTACCGTCGTGTTCGCGCCTCCCCCGGAGTTTCCAAAACGCAACGAGGGCTAGAAGTATGCGGCGGATGCCACCAGAAATGACTTCACATCGGACTCGGACTTGCGATCTAATGCATACAGTGCAGGGTTTGGGCATTTGGATGAGAGCTTTGTGCATCTGCTGCCTGGAGCCGCGCAAACCCAGAACCAATTTGCACATGCCACCTCGGAGCATAAAGTCCTGGAGGGACTGAGAGAACAGCAGTCTGTAGCGCAGCACGGTTGTTCGATACCCTAAACCCTAAACCCCTAGATCCCGAACCCCTTAAGCCCCTAAACCATAAACTCTGTAAGCTCTAAACCGCTAAACCCCTAGACCCCTAAACCCGATAAACCCTATGAACCCTGTAAACCCTGTAAACCCTATAAAGCCTACAAGCCCTGCAAGCCCTAATACCCGTCTGCGCCTCGGTCTAAGAGTAGAGATCATCACAGGCTGGGAACCGGGGAGGTCTTGAGATGGCGACAGAGAGAAGACGTGTTTTGGGGTTTAGGGTGGTGTCGGGTTTAGAGGTTTAGGGTGGTGTAGGGCCTAGGGTTTAGCGCTTAGGGCTTAGGGGTTTTACGGTTATCGGGAGCGAGGCTCGCACGATCAGGGATTAGGGCAGCCGCATATGTCGATATCTTATCTGCAAGAAATTGTTTGGATTCTTGCCATTTTCGACCCGCTCAGCTCGCGCGCCTGGCGCGAGCGTGCAGGAGAGCCTCCATCAGGTCCTCTGCCAGCTGTATGTCGGAAATGGGAGCAGATAGAGTGTGATATTATGATTAAAAAGCTAGGGACTCAAGTCCTGTATACATGTTTTTTTGCATATGACATGTACAGGCACGTCTTCTTCATGCATCTTGCGGCTTTCTGTCTGTGTATCTTATTGTGTCTCTGGCATGCATCAAAGGTAGGACGTAGTACGTAGGCTTGTATGTCAGCCGAAACCTGAAGGCTCGGTTCTAGTTTCGGGATTCAGGTCTACATCGTCACGATCAAGCATCTCTGCTGTTGGGGTTTCCCGTTACGAAGATCTTTGCCACAAAAACCATCCACTTGCTCCGAACAAGCGTTTGAATGCTAGTTGCCTGCGCGCGCGTACTGGGATCCTACCTTGGGTGTATCCTCTTTGGGGCTGGCTGTTGCCTGGTGGGGACGCTATCCCTTGGCGCCGTTGTGTCCGAGGCTAGTGCGGTGATAGCTGTTGTTTATGTCGATTTCCCATCGTCGAAGTGAGTACTCTTCCGGGCTTCACCGTCATCACCTCGGGTCATAGATGCCAGAGGCTGCACCGATCGTTGCGAAGACCGGATCGAGAAAATCACGCGACGGGTTGAGGAATATGTTGTGGGGTTCTTGTAGGTCCGACAGCAGTGATGCTTCTCTATAATATAGGGGCCGTAATATTTACCTACACTTTTTTGGGGGGGTTCCTTCTTATGATTATAGTAACTATAGTATAATGGGCCCCATAGCCCAACTCTAATTATTAAGGCCCCTATAGTAGGTTCTACAGGAGATTAGCATGTCTTTGACCAATTTAAAACAGTGGAACCATGCCTAGCCTCTCTCTCATTGTTGTTGTTCTGAAGTTTTGATCCACGAACCCTAGACCTCCGGGCCCATACCCAAACATGAGACCCGCTTCGCTGACCTCGAGACCACACATAACACCAGCCTGCTTCCGTCGTCAAGCTTACCCATAGGCCCCATGGGAGTTCCTTTTTGGGATTACCTTATAGGATTCTAAATTAAATATGAACCCCAAAAGGAACTACTTTGAGGCATATGGGTAGTCTCATTGATAGTCTAGGGGCCAACGTTGCTCGTCCTCAGGGCACATTAATTTTGCAAGGCGACCGGGATCTACGATCGATGTTGCTGCCATTTACTATGAACTCACAAGACTCTTCCTTTTTCCGATGTCTTAGAAGGGGCCCCCACCCTGTAATAGTGGTATAATACTATAACCCTTATAGTCGCGATTACAGGGTTGGGGCAGCTTCTAACTGATGTCAGTCATGTCGGCAAGGCTGCGGAATCCGGTGACGAGGCATACAGCGAGGATGAGGCCAGGGCTGCTGAAGGATTCAGAAACGTTCAATTGATCAGTCCGTCGTGTACAAGCAGAAAAGGCTGATTCGAGTCATCTGGACTGTTCAGATATCTTGAGTTTTTGAGGTGATTAGGTCGTCAGGTGATCATACTCGCGACACTGCAAGTTGCCCCGATAGTCCTTATACAGAGTGTTTGGGGTTGCTGTCCATGCTTTTCCCTTCTTTCCGAGCCTTGTATCCCGCCGGAGTAGGTGTCAGGCGCGTAAGCATGCCATTCCCAGCCCTCGAAGCATTCCTGCTTTTTTTTCGGCTTCAAGGCTACCATAGAAAAGATGCATAACAGCCTAAACGTATTCAAACTCTGCACGAAGTATTGGGGAAGGAAATGCATGTGCAGGGTGTACATGTTCGAACTTTGAAAGGAATCTGCGATGCAGCAAGCTCGTCAGCACTTTAATGCTCATGTGAATTATGCAGCATAGACTTGGCATTTGCAAGCCTTAGAGCCAGCTCAGCGAGCTACCGCGCTATGAAGCCGGCCTGTTTGAAAGAACGCCTTGCACGCGCTCCAGAGCCACCTCGCGGCCCTGCCACACACCAGCCACTGCCACCACAGAAAGGAATCCTGAAGCGGCCCACGGGTGTTGCCCGGTCCCGCAGCAAGAGGTCGAAGATCAGCTGGCTCTGGAGGCCTCGAGAGCTGACAGTGCATTCGCTGGACGGAGCGGAAAAGGCGGAGCTTTTCTGGTCGCAAGATGATTTGAGCCATGTCACTTGCGGTTGTTGTGGCGGTCGCTGGCGTGAGAGAGAAGTTTCCGTGGCCCAGAATCCCAAAGGCCAACGGGATCTCCTTTGTGTCTCGTGTGCAGGGGTGCAGCCGAGACACCTTGTCTCCACGAAGGCAGGTCGAGGCAGTGTGGGTTGGCTGAAAATTTGCCCGGAACCTGAACCGCTCTTCGAGGAGGAAGAGGAGGAGGATAGTGAAGAGGAGGAAGAGGAGGAGGAGAAGCAAGAGCAGAGGGAGGAGGACGAGCAAAGCGAGGAGGAAGAGGAGGGGGAGAAGCAAGAACAGAGGGAGGAGGACGAGCAACAGGAGGAGGATGAGGAGGATGCAATGCCGATGTCCGCACGCCTGATGCAGGCTCTGGAGGAATGCTCAAAGCTTCCGAGGCCTTCAATCTTGAAGGCTCAACCTACCCTCCATCGTACCTGCAGTCTCTTGAGGGTCTCTTTCGAAGGCGTCCGCAAAGTCGTGGAGGGATCCGAGTCTTTGAGCAGCCCAGGGACAACAGACATACTGTTCTGGAGCACTGAGAGGTTGAGATCCATCACTTGTGCTCGATGTGGCTGCTTTCACAGCAAGGCTGAAAGCTTTGTAGCCGAGTCATGGCATGATGAGATGGACATGATTTGCACGGACTGTTCTAGCGACTGGCCTGGCCATCTGCTCTCTCCGGTTCCTGGGGCCATATCAGCTGGCTGGCTAAAGCTTCAGCCGTCGTTTTCGTGTGCAAGCTTTGATGAGTTTGCCGACTACGAGATCAGGAAGAAGCGATCTCTGCTTGCGCTGCGCGATGCCAACAGCCTGGGACATAATAGCAAGAGCCCTGCAGAGGGGAGTCGCGAAGCTCTCGTAGGCGTGGACATCAGAGACGAAGACTCACCGACCGAAAGTGACACTGAGGAGGAATCAGAGACGGATTCCGAAGAGAACAGACGAGCATGGTAATCACAGGGGCAACAGATCAGTGTTTGTCGACTGACATCACCGCCTAGCGAATAGTCTATGGGTGTTGACAAGCCTGCCTGCGCGAGCAGCCCGGCAGTCTGTGGGGAAAATTGGCTGCGACTCCGGGCTATAGGATCGTCTGCCGCGCGACTTGGTATAACCAGTCTATAGTAGTTAGGATAGAGTAATCATGAATATAACTGATAGTAAGAGATTGATGTACTTGTTTAGGAACCCTTCAGTTTTAGGGTTCGGACTCCGGTTCGGACCATTCCTTCCACAAAGATCTACGTAAGATGAGCGGCATGTCTTCAGTTCTTCTGTACAGGGCGTAGCAATGCGAGCAGTCACGATTTCACGACCCGTAATTTAAACCTCGGGTTGCGCATGGCCGGTCGTCGTGTATTCCAGATGCGCGTTATTGTCAGTGCCGTGATTGCAGAATGTCAGTGTTTTGTTTTGGAATCCGCACATGTCTGCGATTTTCTGAATTCTTTTCTCGCGGCTTGCGAGGACTTCTGCGAGGAAGCCGAGGATGAGAGCACTCCAATGTCCAAAGGCCACGCTCCTATGTACTAGGTAGTATTTGGGAGACCCCTGAAAGGCAAGGAAACCCTTCTATATCCCCAAGGGTCCCCCCTAATCCTAACTCCTATTATGCGGAGTTTGGGGTAAAGGGGCTCAGGGATCAGAGGTGTGAAGAACTAGAGGGTTTGGGGTTTCCTGGCGAGATGCAGCTTTCAGGATAAAGCCCTACAGAAGAGTATCCCCATTGGGATGATCTTGTCCATATTGCTGGGTTCGAGGTCGTAACACCATTTAGGGATTGAGGGTTCGGGGAGTTTGCGGCATGAGCTCAGGGTTGGAGGGGCACGGGGGAGCTGCAGAGCCTTGCTTCAAAACAGACAGGGGTGTTTTAGGGTCCGGACTGAGGGATGCTTTTCGAGGTTGCTTAGCATAGCGGGGACGGGGTCGTGGAGACACGGAGGGTTTGCTATGGGCGGGGGCAAACTCGGCAGAACACCAGTAGTTTGAAGGCAGAAGCAATGTTCGAACTGAGTAGTTCAACGGGGGTTTGCTTAGTCGGGCGTAGGGGTGTCGGCAAGCTAACTTGACTCGAGCCCGGGTGCCCTGGATAAGTTTCAGCAGTGTTTCGATTGTGGCTTCACTCTGAGTCTGAGACTTGAGCCAGGCGCAGCTCACTCAACTTCTTCAAAACCGCCGGGGAGCTCTAAAGCCCTGCTCCAAGGCAACATGACGGGCTACAGCCACAGCGAGTGTCAGAGCGAGCAGGTGGCTTGGGAACTGGGCCATAGGGGATCAGTGATGTAGCCTTTAGGATTGATGGTTTAACCGACCTAAATCTAAACTTTGTTAGGCTTCATTCATGTGTAAGCTACACTGTTTTTGGGCTGTGGGACCCAATCCAGTATGCAAAGTCCTCTATTGTCCGGGAAGTTAGGGCTGAATGACCGCAAATCCTATTCTGAAGTTTCCTGAGCAACGAGGCGCTAAATCGAAAACTCACAGGCACAGATTGTTGCTAAGGTTTCAGGTTGGCATGGGTAGTCCTCCGAAGTCCTGTAGGGCTCTTGAACACAACCCCCCGCCCAATTTAGCGAGCATTGCGGGCAGCAGGCTGCTGCCAAAGGATTCATATACTAGCTTCAGGAGCGGTAGCCCTGAGTCTAAGCGGTGTCGGAATCGTAGCGGTAGCCGCGATAATAGTATGAGAAGAGATCAAACCTTTTCATCTTTGCACTGACATTTCTGTTTTCTCGCGGTACGTGTAAGTAGAAAGAACTGCACAGGTAGGTTTATGCCACCTCGAGACTCCGCCAGGAGGTGGCAGTGTGACCCACAGCCTCCACCCGGCCCTAAGCTCCATAGTCATAGCCTCTATAAAGCCCTAAAGTCTAGTGGAACTCAGAAGCTCCGAACCCCAACCTCAAACCCCTGAACCCGCCAGTAGGCTGTTGCAGATTTGCGACATCAAAACCGGGGCCTGGAGGCCCTAAAGCCTGAACCCGAAACCCCTCAACCCCTCCCTAAACTCTAAACCCCTAAACCCTGAACCCTAAACCCTAAGCCTGAGACGAAGGAGACATCTCCCAGCGCTGAGAAGGCCAGGGAAGAGCAGGCGAAGGTCGGATTGGAAGTCACCGATTTCTTGTGAGCTTCAGTAATCGATTCTATTCAGGGTTGAGGGGTTTATAGGGTTTATTGTGAGCTTCAGTAGTCGATCATATTAAGGTCAGTAATCCCTCAGATTAAGGTTCAAGGTGGTTAAAAAGTTCGGCCCTGCAGAGTTCCCAAGTTGAGATTGCACATGGTGTAAGTTGCCTTAAGCTTCGTCCGGACTTTAAGGAGGCATGTCGCGCAAGCATCGCAAAGTATGGGTTTGCATAGCTGGTCAAAGGGGGGCTCTGGGGTTTTTCGCTTCACGGGTAGACTTCCCTCTAAGACAATGCCACCCCTTTCGTTGGAATCTAGCTGGGCTCTGGGGCACAACATGATGAGCCGGTTCACCCCTTCGTACTCAGTGAGTGGCTGGGTAGGTTTGTAGACAGGTAGATACGTGCGTCAATGACATACCAGCTAGGTTCTTGATTTAAGTCACCTGAATAAGGAAACCATTTTGTTTTAATTTGCAGATCCCTATTATGGTGTTCAAGTTAAACTCCTTGTCAAGAGCCCTAAGTTACCATAACAAGGACACCATATTCATTTACTATAGATCCCTATCAAGGTACCTCAAATTAAACTCCTCAACCAGAGCCCAACCAGCTTTGCTCAGGCGCCTGAGCCACCCATCCTCCAGCGGCCCTCCGGAATCAGCGCACTCAGCCAGGCCGGAGCTCTACCCAGAGACTCCAATATCCCTTAATTAAGGAATATTCCTTAAATCATTTTAGGGATCCTACTATAAATTAAGGAATATTCCTGAATTAAGGGACATTGGAGTCTCTGGGTAGGCCTTACCTCAATACTTGCGTACTTGTAATATATTTTGGACATTAGGGTAAAGGGATCCTTAAGGGCTCCTTGAAGGGCCTTCTTATAATTATAGTATACTGGGTCCCAACCCTTATTCTATTTATCAGGCCCCTATATTAGAGATTTTAGCGATCCCAGGGACTTGGATTTAAGGGTGTAGAGGTTGTCAGGCTTTCGGGCATGTGCACTGCAGTGCTCCGAAAAGCAGGGTTGAAAGGGATAAGGGTTTAGGATTTAGTAGAAGACTTTATCAGTTTCAGGGGTCTCGATTTGAATGGCTGGCAGCAATGAGTACCCGAGCCTGTTAGATCCTGAAGTCTTGGAAACCTTGGGACCCCCCATGCCCTGACCCGCAACCTTCTGATAGTCATCGTGCTGATTCTCCTACTTCAGGCTCTCAGAACCCGGCATGAATTGCAGCTTCCGGAATCCATAAGGAGTAAAACTCAACCTATAATCTTGAAAGCCCAGATTCCTGCGCGGTAGGAGTCCGTCTCGCAGATCCAGGCCCACTCACTGGCCACCAAGGCTCTCTGCTTAGGGTATACCCAGAGGCTCCATAGTAGTTCCTTCTTGGGATTACCTTCTAGGATCCTAGATATGAACCCCAAAAAGGAACTACTATGGAGCCTTAGAGTAATTCGAGTGGGGGGCGGGATCGGGGCCCGACGGGAAGGGTGTAAGCCAGGGCCCAGGGAGGGGAGCGAATGAGATCTTTAGGGTACCCTTTTTCGGGAGATTTAGATTTTGTGTTTGGGGCTTAGAGTCGCTTGAGACGCAATAAAGTTATGTCTTTGTCGGAATCCAAGCCCGAGAGAGGCTGCGACGGTGTCCTCGGGCTCGGGGACTTGCTTTGGGGTGGCGAGTAATTTCTTCAGGAAGGTTTGGGATGCTCTTTGGAAACCGATTGAAAAGTCAAACAACGTAGGTTGTAAAATTAGGATCCCGCGTTTTCTGAAATTCCTGTTCGAGACCTGGCGATGATGCCGGTGAGCTGATGATGGTGATCAAGGGGTGATTGCAGAGTTAAAGAGCGAAGATGGCGGCAGGTGATGTGAAGGAGCGCTTTGCAATGCTCGGGATCTGAAGGTTGTGCTCAAATCTTCGGTTTGAGGACGGGCTCCGAGATGAATTGGAGTTGAGGTTTGGGTTTTACAGCCTGAAACGTCGAATCTCTGTGCTTGGTTTTCGGAAATGGGCTTTCGAGAGTAGTGGAGCGAATGGCTGCGTGCTCCCAGTTGCCGCAGTTGACATGTTCGGGATCCCACATGTGGGATTTCAGGCCAGCCGCTCCTATAGCACCTGCGCAGGCATTTTCGACATCCTTGTCAGCTCTTGCCCCTGGCGGCGAAGGCTTCCTGCCCCAGTCTTCGTTAAGAGATACGTTGGTTCGTGAAGCCTACCGCTATAGAAGGCCCAGGAGCCGTGATCGGGAAAGGGCAGGAGCTGCGAACTGCAGTATAGCAAGTATACTTGTGAGCATGGTGACTCGAATCCTTTGCCTTATTCCCCTCCAGTGGCGCTGCGCACCTTGTACTGCTAAGGTTCATCTATAGGCTTCGGTACTGTGCCCTTCAAACTTCACTTCAACTGCACTCCTCAGTTTTAAGTACTCTTGAGAGCTCACTTGCCCTTTATTCACGAGTTGTGTCGCAGAAGCGTCGCTCCAACCGCATCCCGAAACCTTTGGTTTCAATATCCGCGGAACCCTGAAACTTGAAACGGTTTAGGGTTTAGGCTTTTCTAAAGGCTACGGCCTTTTGGGGTTAGGGCTTTTAGGGTTTAGGGGTTTTAGGGTTTAGGGTTTAGCTGCCTGAGCAGGGCCGGACGCGAGTGCGCCAAGCGATGCCGGAAGCGACGCGCCCACAAGCGTAGAAGGCCGTGCAGGGGCCGTAGTCGGGACTGATGCTGTACTTGTAGTTACTATGTAGTTACCAGATTTCACTATCACAGTGGGCCTCTCCCTCTGTATCGTCCCTCGTCCTCACGGATTTCCATCCTGTATGGCCATGATTGATCTCATGATTGCTGGTCCTCGTCGTACAGTGCCAGATCCGTTGTAGCTTGATGCGCCTTCGGGCTTTCTCTTTTCGGGTTGTTTACGGTTGAGAAGGTCTGGTCTTGCCGCGCTTCTTGTGGAGTCTCTATATACGACCTGCAAGAGGGCAGCCGCGAGAGAAAGGCTCTGACATGACGAACAAGACTGCCAGGCGGGTCACGTGACATCCAGAATGACGATGAGGATGTCGCCAGATCCTCGGCATGGTCTGTGCGCAAGTCTACGCTCGGCAGTGGTTGCTGGAGGGGGGTTCAAGAAAAGGCTGCCAGAGCAGCCAGCGGACTGCAAAGTTGAGCAGCTACCTTGCCGCCATACGCAAAACGACGTGTTTTGCATCAAGTCGGCTGTTACATTACGTGCATGATGTGCCTGTTACATGCCTGAACCTATGCGTTGAATGATAGCACATAGTTGCTCACACTGCCCAACCCTTGACCCCCAAAAGTTGGCACCCAGGTTAGTGCGCGCTCTGACTCTGAAGACGAGAGTTGAGTTCGCCTTGCCCAGTGACTCGCCACGTCGGGGCTCGAAGTCTACAGAAATAATCTATGTATATATATATATATATATAGTCGCAACTGTGATGCACATGCCAATCGTCAACATCATCATCATCATCATCATCATCATCATCGTCAGCAGAGTTCCTAGCTCCATCACCGCCGCAACTGCAGTACAGCATCTTTAGGATGAGCTTAGATGTGCCGTTTTCACCTCCAGAGTTGTATTATTATTGAGGTGATGGATCTTGAAACGCCGTCTTGCACTTCGAAACGTGCACAAAAGCTTTTGATGCGTATGCTATCGTCTTTAAGCAAGCCGTAGCTTTCGCGTCAGGTCCACACTCACAGGACAAGCTTGCTCTGATAACACTTTCCTGTAGTCACACGTGCTTCCTTCTCGCCCTGTGTGATAGGTTTCACCACAATTTGACTTAGTGCCGTGATGTGTTGAGAGACGTCGGGAGTATGCCTAAACCTTGAAACTGCATAATTATTTCTTTTCGTCCTACGTCCAAACAGTTTTGCATAAGCCTTGGCAGTCCGGCAGACTCTCACAACGCTGCGGTCGAATTGCCTAAGTGCCCTTCCTGTGAGCTCGGTCCCAACGGCCTGCGTCCAGCGCTCACTGCAGCCCCTCAAGAGGTTACGGTGTAATTAATAGTTAAGAGTATTTAAGAGTAGGCTTATCTCAGAAACTTCTTGGTCTATCTGGATGGGTGATAGTTAACTGATTGTATTTACAAAGACCCCCAGGCTTTCAACGACGGCGTGGTCAGGGTTAGAGAAGTTCAACGTCTGTCGGTTTCTGCTGGATCTACGTATACATACAGGTCACACGAACATGTTCGTACATCTACAGACAAGCAGACATCTGCCCAGCTAGCCATCTTCCGACTCCTATAGATAGATCCTTTGGCTTACTGAAGAAATGGGGTATGACATTTGCATACTTCATTAGGACCATGCATGCATGCATGCACACATACATGCATCTGTGCGCAAAACACAATATAGACCTACACACGTGCACATGTATACAATTTTATGTGCAAGCATGCATATGCATATGCAATCGCAAATGCATATGCATTTGTATATGTATATGTGTATGTCCATATATATATATGTACATGTATCTGTATATGTACAAATATGTACCTCTGAATACCTATATGTGTTTATGATCACCCATACATGCTTACACACTTTACACACATAAATACAGACGTACGTGCATTTATATTTGCATGTACGTTTCAAAGTGTGACTCGGGCTATCAACCCCGATGTGGTGGCCCAACAAACCTACGCCCTGTGGGCATGATGCCTTGAAGCCTTAGTCTCCATCTCTCTAGCCTCTACCCAAAGGCACCATAGTAGTTCCTTTGGGGGATTACCTGATAGGATTCTAAATATGAGTCTAAATATGAGGCCTAAAAAAGAACTACTATGGAGCCTCTGGGTAGGCTCTACACCCAGAGATCCCAACAGCTCTTCATTTTGCGGTAGATCTGTGGTTACCTTTTTGCACGGATATGGGGCGTCAGTTCCGGAAGCTTAACCCCTGGTGACCATTGTTTCTGAGCTTTGTTCTCCTCCCGTCCCCAAGATGGCGGGTTAGGACTGCAGGGCTCATGATCATGGAATCGAGATTGACGGGTCACGAACCTAAGCCTACACGCCCTTTCCAAGCTTTTAATCTTCAGACGCTGGCCGTTATGTACTTCGCTGGCTTTTCGCATGTCAACTCGTGCTGCGGGGTTTGCACGGAACCAGGTACCTACAAAGGCTTTTCTTGCGGTGGATTCTTAGGGTTTTGAAAGACTTCAAGAATTTTACCTTATTTGTGGGTCCCTTGCTTAAGAATCCCTAATCCCTCCCCAACTTTACGGATTATTGAATATTCAATATGGCTTTCCTGAGACTACGCCTGCAACCCAGGAGACTAGACCAGACACCTTTCTCTGACTACCTTTCTGGCTAGCTAGTTCGGAGCATCTCCCAAATTGGCCTCGCAGTCCTGCAAAACATTCCGGAACCGGACGGGTTTCAATTAAGGCGAGGTTGCGTTCTCTGCTGGTTTGAGAGCTGTGCTGTTTCGCAAACCCTACAGGCACACAGTTTCACGAATACGTTATGGGTGTCCACGCCCGGCACAGACAGATGCGGGGCAAAGATGATTGCGTGCATAACAGTTCTCGGAAATGCGGTGTGCAAGTTTACAAGTACCCTCGCAAGTGTTTCCTCAAATCCGCGAAGTATGTGTATGCCATAAACATGCTGCCAGGGCTTGCAAAACTAATGATCCTACGAGGCTTCGTGCCCTGTGGAGGTAGGTCGTTGTGAACTGCATGTGAATGAGGTGCAGGAAATAGGGACAGCACGAATCCGCGAATGCTACATACCGACTCTTACTTCCAATGTGATGGTGCCCCAAGTGACCAACCAGATGTACTAGTCTAATGGCAAAGGAGCGACGTCAATGTCATTGTTGGTTGTCATCAGACTTTTCAGGTTACTTGCAGAGATGCATGGCAGTACCACAAGGGGTTGCAGCAGCACCAAAGAGCAGCACGGTCGCACTCAAAATACTCAAAGACAAGAATATGACTGTAGGCTATTGGGCCATTTCCTCGCTCCGGCATTTGCGCGTTCTCGCGCCGTTCGCTGCACTGTTGTTGCAAAGAGGAGCGGTGGTCGAACTACGGATAGACAGTACTTCAGCGCCTATATAATACTAGCTGGCCCACGCGTAGCGTCAAAATTGATCACCATCAAGACTGGTGTGTTTGTGCGCAGCAAAAGCAAGGCATCCTGGCGACCTTGTCGGGCATCGGCTCAATCTCAAGCTTGAGTTGGCAATTACGGGGAGAAGGTCCATGTCAACCGAACTGATGTTCCCCAGTCGTGCATTCGAGCAGGCAGCAATAAGGAAAGAATAGCTGTAAGTATGCCGTGGCCACACACCCCCAGCACCAAATGATCATCTCGTGACCGTTCTGAAGCACGCAAGACCCACGAGCACCTGTACATACGTGCGGGCATTGGAGACAGGAGACATAGTAGTAGAAAGAAACTGCAACGCTCAAAAGCAGCAGCATTCAGCCCTCACTCCGGTTCTGCGCATATATTATACGGCTCGCTACCGTAGTGTAGTCATTTATTCACCAACTGCAAGCTATGCATTAAAGGGATATTCACACCTCTCCCTTGCTGGCGTAAGCATGGCGGCAGCCGCTGTTGGAGCAAGAAGGGGCAGGAGCGTATGCCTGAGAAGGGTTCCGGGCAGACGGTTTAGTTTCCTTTTGCTCCATAGTAGTTCCTGACGGGGTTCATATTCAGAATCCTATAAGGTAAACCCCAAAAGGAACTACTATGGGGCCTACGGCTAGTCCTTACCATATCTACTCATCTTCATGCGGCAATTTTCGGTTTGACCGAGTTAGAAAGTTGTTGGGCCCATCATGGTGGCAAGCTTCATGCTCCATGGACTGCACGCAACTGGTCAGCTGGATGCAGCACTGACACCAAGGTGGCTTTTGTGCAAACCCACGACTCAAGCTCCACATGTAACTGTCGATGACGGGGCGGTGCAGACCGATGGCGATTGCCCAGTGTCCCGGGATGAACTTGCTTGCCCTCGGTGGGCTGGATGATTTGAACCCAGCGGCTCCATAGTAGTTCTTTTTTCGGGGCTCATATGTAGAATCCTACAGGGTATTCCCCAAAAGGAACTACTATGGAGCCTCTGGGGGCATCCGTCAATCCAAAGTCTACTAACAGGATTTAGGGTTCAGGATATTCCGCCCACCTCTGCCGAATGAGCGGGGTCGAAGCAGAAATCAGCAGACTACCGTCTCTGAAGAAGGACGGGTCGATTAATCATATAGAACCTCGACACTATAGGCTCCATAGTAGTTCGTTTTTGGGATTACCTTATAGGACTCTAAATAGGAACCCCAAAGAGTAACTAAAGTATAGGACTTCGACCCCAAGCCTGGAAACTCTCAGTCCTCTGAACTCTGTACCCTACTATAGGGGGCCTCAATAATTGCCAATATTATTTCGGGGGTTCCCCATGATATTTATAGTATGAGGGGCCCCAATTCTAACTATTAAGGCCACTGTATTCAAAGGCCACTGCATTCAAATCTTGCCACATCACGAACTTACAAGCCTAAGCCTTAAATCGCTGAGCCCTACTCTTGCCGCAGGAACCGTGGGCAGCTTATCAAGGCTGAGCAAGAACTGGCGAGGCCGTTGATGGGCTGTGGGGCCACGGCTCAGGGATGTAGGATTAATAATGGTGTTCCGGATCTTACGCACCAGTTCGACGAAGATAGTTCTCAGAATGCTTGTGCGCATGTGTGTGTGTGTTTATACTACATTACTACATATATCTATCTATCTATCTATATATATATATATATATATTTGTATGTAGCTTAAAGGCATATAGAGAGAGAGTGTCTCCGGTTCATATCAATCAATCGTTTCGTATATCTTCATTGCTTTCCTGCGTTGCCAAAACTTTAGACACCTTGAAGACCGCTGTAGTTTCACTGCATCCGAGCTGAACTAGAGTCCTGGCTATCGTGCCTCGGCCTCTTTGTTTCGAAGTGTGGCCCGGTAGCTTCAGTCTTGACCCCGAGCCTCCCCCTCTTCGAGAGCGAGCCAAGAGAAGACCGCGGTGTGTGTGTGTGGGTTGAGACGCAGGGGGGAAAGTGATACCGCCTAGCATATGCATATGATGCACAAACATAGGTCTGACCATTATTGGGTTTTCTATCTACTTGCCCATCCATCCATCCATCCATCCATCCATCCATCTGTCTTAAAGCCCTTCTTTCTATCTTGGCGGCATGCTACATACGGGTTCCCCCGATGCAAACTTCCCAATCATCCAGGAGAGCTCAGGAAAATGAGCTGAAGAGACAGCAAAACGAGGTGGCGAAGTCTATAATGGAGCCTTGGCTACAAAACTATCGGG